AAAAGCTCAAGTAAATACCTACTTCTGTGCTTTAGACATTGAAATTGACTTCCAAGTAGGAGTTGACATTGAAGTAGCTTTAGACATTGAAGTTGACTTGCTTGTCTTTTTTTGTCATCTTAAAACCATCAGTTTTACTTAATGAGCATTTTGGGTTGGTTGCTAGTTTTGTGCATTTCTGCTGCTTTCCAGTTACTGTTTGGATATAGCTTGAAACAAAGAATGAGTAAATGCAAAATATATTTTCCCATTTAGAAACTGATAAAACCAAAGATTATTGATAAATACATGTATTTATGTAAAAGTGAAGGAATCAGGATAGCTATCAAGCTATAATAATTAGACCAGTGACTACAGGGAGGAAGAAAGATATGAAAACCAGGATTAAATGGGATTTACTGACCTGTGTAAATATTCTTGACAATTAGCTACTAAGAATGAGTCAATACTTCATGAAACCAATGCCATAAAACAGCATATTCATTAATGTATTTTGAGAATTATTTTAAATAATTTTTTTTTGTTCCAGAATGGGGGTATTTGTCTGTAAGGGAATCAATCAGTGGATGTAGTGTCATGCTGATTTATGGCAGGAGGAGAGGATTCAGTCCTGGGACTTTAAATCTAGAACTGCAGGAATGGCTCATTGGACTTTTGTGAACACCTACTCACTTTCAAAGGACCTAGAAAATTAGGATATTTAATTTTTTTTTTCTTAATGTAGGCATGGTAGTAGTAGAGTTGTCACTATTGAGTGTTTGTACAGTTCTTTCTAAAAATATATAACTTGTTTTCCATTTCTATAATAGTTTCTTTCCCTTTATAACAGGAAAAAAAATAGTGAACCAGAACTGTTTTTGCCTTCTTCCAGCAGCAACTGGTAGCTCTACTACAAGAGAAGAGCTGAATGAAAGTGCAGCAAGTAAGAAATCAAATGTGATACTTAGGGACCTTCATTAAGTGTTTTAGTTAACCAACACATCTTTATTTTATTTTTACATTAAAGTGTGATATCTCCTGCACCTGTGCACAGACTGAACTTATGTGTGAGTATTTTAAGGCATGGAATATTGCTATAATTTTGTTAAGGTTATGCAAAGAGTTGAGGACATTCCCAGCTATCCTGTTTTTAACTGATTGTTTGCCATATTATTATCTTTTCCAGCCGTCATCACTATATTTAAATTGGCATTTTGGAACCTGCATCTGCTCTGTGAATCAAAATACTTGTCTAAGATTGTTTAGATGTTGATCTTGGATGATGAACTTAGGGACATGAATTCAGAGTATTTCTCTTTACTCTCTTCTTCCATGAGACAAGGTAGTAGTTTAGAACTGGCAGAACCAGGTGAGTGATGATCCCTTCTGTTATAGATGTGTAATTATTTGTGCAACACAACTTGTTGGAAATCCTTACCAATCCATGGCAGTTTTTTTTCTTCATAGCTGCATCCATCCTCTTAGAAAAAACAGAACTTAACCCAGCATTCATTATTTGATTGTTGCTCCCTCTCTGCTGATCTGTCTGTTCCACTCTTTCGGAGGCTCCCTGTCTTTGCTGTAGTGGCTGGTTAGCCTGCTCCACCTGAGATTCCACATCCTTTCTTTGGCTGAGACCCACAGAACCATAGAATGACTAGGTTGGAAGAGACCTTCAAGATCATCCAGTCCAACCCATGCCCTAAACACCTTAACTAAACCATGGCACCAATTGCCATATCCAGTCTTTTTTTGAACACATCCAAGGATGCTGACTCCACCGCCTCCCTGAGCAGGCCATTCCAGAACTTTATTACGCTTTCTGTGAAAAACTTCTTCCTCATATCCATCCTATATTTCCCTGGATGCAGCTTGAGACTGTGTCCTCTGGTTCTGTCATTTGCTGCCTGGTGAAAGAAACCAAACCCCACCTGACTACAGCCACCTCTCAGGAAGGTGTAGAGAGTGAAAAGGTCACCCCTGAGTCTCCTTTTCTCCAGGCTAAACACCCCCAGCTCCCTCAG